GGGTTGATGGTCCGAGGGGTGTTTTTGGCTCGGGCAAGGGCCCTGTCAATAACACTGCTGGGGTATCCTCTGTTGATGAGAAAGGAGCACATTTTGAGGGCTTGGTTCTCGAAGTCGATGTCGTCGCTGCATAATCATCGTAACCGAAGCTGAAGCCGAATCTTTCGGAGAGACTAGCTTTTACAAGCTGATCTCCTGTATGCATACGAATAAACAGCTCTTCTTTCACCAACACCCGGACTCTGACATTTTAATGTTTCTACACTTCAAATGTCTAGTTCTTCAGCCATGCTGATGTAGACTTGCTTGAGTGTTTTGGATCATTGTCTTGCTGCCTGACCCAGCTGTGCTTCAGCTTCAGCTCCTGGACGGATGGCCAGACATTCTGCTGTAGAATTCTCTGATCCAGAGCAGACCTCATGGCTCCTTCAATGATGGCACATCGTGCTTGAGCCATGACACTACCACCACCATGCTTGACCGCTGGTATGAGGTTCTTACAGTGGAATACAGTGTTTGTTTTTCGTCAGACATTACATCACCTGTCCACAGAACACTCTTCCAGAACTCTTGAGGATCATCCCGGTGCATTTTGGCGAACTTGAGGTGAGCACTCATGTTCTCCGTGAGCAGTGACTTCTGCCTTGCTGTTCTCCCATGTTTGCCCAGTGTCCTTCTGAAGGTGGAGTCACAGACACTGAGCTTAGCCAAGGCAAGAGAGGCCTGCAAATCCCTAGAAGTTATTCTACAGTTCTTTGTGACATCCTGAACAATTTTATGGCTTGCTCTTGGAGAGATTTTCACTGGACGGAAACTCCTGGGAAGATTCACTACTGTCCCACACTTTTTTTTCATTTGGACAATATGGCTCTGACTGAGGATCAGTGATGCCCCAGAGCCTTAGAAATGGCTTTGTATCCCTTTCCAGACTGACAGACATCAACAACTTACTTCCAGAGGTTTTCAGGCTTTTATTTTTATTTAAGGCATAATGTGCCTCTAGAATCTATGTGCTTATAGCTTCACTCCGATAGTAAGAGCCAAACTTACTCAGATTTATACTGGGCAGGACTTACCCAAATCGGGCCTGATTCTTAACCAGAGTATTCAAATTGCTGACCCTAATTATCCCCTTAATGGGGTTTACTGGAGGGGGGCAATGACGTCTTCACACCTGAAGATTACATGTCTGATTACCTTGCACTACCCTAAGATCATCATCATCAACACATGAAAATAGCAACTTTGGTGTCATTTATTTCTCAGACTTTTCTCTTTATACTACAGCCCCCAAAAAGATCTGACCACATTTCACTGTGAAAAATGTGCAAATATTGAGAAAATCAGACAGGGGCCAAATACTTTCTCAGGACAATGTATTTGTGCAACGGTGGGTGTGGGAGTGGGTGGGTTCCTGCCCTGTCTCGCTCGAGGTCGCGTTGCTTACGTGAGTGGAGCGTCTCGTGTATGCAGGTTCTGTGCCTGTGTGGGCTCACCTTGTCTTTGGTCTGGTACGGGCGGATGTTGTAAAGCCTGGAGCTGGGAAAGAGTGGAGGTGGGTGGCTGAACAGATCGTTGTTGGTCCCTGTTGGGAGCAGCATCTGGAACACACACAGGTACTGCACAATTCACAGAGGACTGCCACTGGCCTCCTACACACAAGACCTAGGATCAGTTACACTACATTCAATAATTAATCCTATAATAAGATTATATAGATCAGAATATTTTTTCATTTTTTAAGAAACTTGAGGTTTCACCTACAGAATAAGAGGATGGCTTTGGAGATTCCTTACTGAAACAACACAGATATAAATAAAGCTTAAAGACGTAAGATCAGCCTGCCAATGTTAAGGCAAAGGGTTAGAGTGACTCTTTAGATCAAGCTAAGGGCAAGATCTCAGGCTGGAGACTGAAAGTTATGGAAAAAACAGCCGGTCCTGACAACAAATCCCAGAGATGAAATTTCTCTTGGAAAGGGACAAATCAGAGTGGCCTGTCTCTCTGTTGGATACAAAAGGAAACTGCAGCACCTGGCAGTAACCTGAGAGAACATGCAAACTCCGCAGAAATGGTACCCTTGAATTGGAACTATAAGGAAGGAGTGCTAACCACTATGCCATTCACAATTCAGAGAAAACCAGATAAATACTATATCATATGTCACACATTCACCTCATGCATATATGTACTGTAATTCCTTTAATGCATGCACATTGATCTTATGAATGTATGTTTTTTTATTTGTTAATGTATTCATGATGTATTATGTAGCTTGTATGTCTTTCTAGCTTCCTGCAAAGCAAACTTCCCATCTGGGACAATAAAGGAAGTCAGCCAAGCTATGTAGGTAGCATCTTCAAAACTATTTACTGCCTTCTTAAGCATCAGCTGTGTGGAACTAGAATGATCATCATTCACTGTTTAGGGTGGAGCTGCTGTGACAGTAAAGCCCCTTGTCCTCAGTCTCCTGCACAGTCCCAGGTGAAGAGAAGGTGGTTGCAGTTCCTCTCCAGTCCTGCAGAAGGTGCTGTGATCACAGGTCTTACCTGGAATTCCCCAGAGAGACCTCCTTTGAAGACCCAGGGCTCTGATTCCACCCCCAGCAGATCCACTGAAGCATTGGTGCGACACCCTGTTAAGACAGGCCTGGTCAACTCAGGACCCAGAACTTCAATAGGAAAGCCAGCCCCCAGGCTACAGGCACCTGGAGGTTATAAACACATCCCTTTCCCAGACAGACTACTTTCTTGTTCGGCAGGTATTTGAAGAAAGCTACAGTGCTTTCCAAAAGTACTGGATATAAATATTTTCTTATTTATAGTTATTTTAGTGTCAGGTAAGTCCAAATATACCCTTATGATATCAGAACAAAAACCATTTAAGGTAAAAAGTTTTTTGTGGACTTAGGCAAGTAACTACAGATGATCTTAGGGTAGTGCTGTTCAGTGTGGTTCCAGTGGGTGAGGCAGTGTTGTTTAGTGTGTGTTTGTGTGTGTGTCCTAGTGGGTGAGGCAGTGTGTGTTGTATTTGTGTGTGTGCCCCAGTGGGGGAAGCGGTCTTGTAAGTGTGTGTTGTGTGTCCCAGCAGTTGAGGCAGTGCTGTTTGGCTTGTTCTGTGATGTGGGTTGAGTTCAATTCTCTTGTGTGTGTGTGAGGCAGTGCTGTGTGTCTTGTGTTGCTGTAGCTGTGCTGTCCTGAGGCTGGTCGGTGTCAGTGCACTTCAGGACCAGCTGGCTGAGGGGGCTCATCTCTGGGCTCAGCTCTTGTGTGCGTGTGTGTGTGCGTGTCAGTGGGTGAGTTAGTGCTGTGTGTCTTGTGTTGCTGTAGCTGTGCTGTCCTGAAACTGGTTGGTGTCAGTGCGCTTCAGGACCAGCTGGCTGAGGGGGCTCATCTCTGGGCTCAGCTCCTGGCTCAGCAGGGCCAGGTGGTGGTAGGAGTTCTGGACACTGTTTTTTTAAGTGTGGATTTATTGCTCTCTTCTGTCCTTTTCCTTTCTGAGAAACAGAGACAAGGATGCACTCTCTGCTGCACTGTGACAATTACTCTGGAATTAGACAACATTCTTCCCAAATATAACAAATCTTAAACCCAGAATTTCTAAACCTAGCAGAATCAGAACTACTTCCTGTCCTACTGGGGGAGGAGAGGAAACTCAATAGAGCTGCAGCTCTTGCGGACAGTGAGAGAGGAGAGGGAACATCATCATCATCACCTTCTACCTCCAGATTCTAGCTAGAGAAATTATTTTAAGCACATTCTGATTTCTTATATTGTGAAGTCCACAGAATAAAAATCTTCTTTCCAGGTTTTGTGATGCTTCTTTAGAATGGGGTGATTGATTCCTGTCATATTTGGGAATCCATGTTATTGGAAGAGTGATTTGTAGGATGCAGGTTTTTCTCTCTTGCCTGTTAAGGTGTTTTGTACTATATTTAGATAACAGGGCTAGAGTTGGCAGCCCTGGGTTTCTGGGTCTGTGTGGAGCAGGCTTCTGAAACTCATCTTTACATGTGTATTATAGTGAAGCTGGTGTATGTCATGTAATGTTGTGTTTCATATAACTGTGTCCCTTATTGTCAATAAATATTTGTCTTGTTAAGTCTAAGACTCTAAGACATTGTCAATAACGTCTCATATTTTTTACTATTTTATTTTTAGAGAAGGAGTCTTTATTTGTTAGAATAAAACTTGTACCCTGACCAGTAATTGAACCCAAGATCTTCTGGGTGATAGGCATGCACTCACGCCACTGTCCCAAAGCATCACTTGATAGCCAGCTAATGAAATGCAATATAGCAATAATGATGAGTGAGGTGGTTCCCAGCAGTGGCCACATGTGCTCAGTCTGACATTACCTCCTCTTGGCTTGAGAACTTGACGCCTAAATACATGAGTAGTCTGAAATAATAATAAATATTATGGAACAGATAAGACCAAGGTATGTGTGCACAGGGCACTGTAGATTGCAGACCAACAGTATGTGACTGAAAACGAACTAAAACCCGAGGAAGTGGAGACCACATTCATCGGGAACGCTAGTGAACCTGCCGTGAACAAGATGCTTCCGGGTCACACCCCAGCTTTCTCAGACTACAAACGACAGGACTGTATCTAGAGACAAGCAGGGTGTTTAGTAAAAGTCTCCTTCCCTTCCTTTTCTTCTAACGTACAGTAAAAGCAGTTCCTCCAGGAGCCAAAAGGATAGTTGTCATTCAGCACCCGGCCGTCTGAAAGAGGAGAGCACAGCGATGGTGAGACACTGACATACCGGCCGGGGGAACCCAAGGCACCCCGATACTCAGAGTCCTGCACCTGGGACCCTGCTCCCGCACAAACAGGGTAACACCTCACAGACCACAGCCATTGCCATTGAGCAGAAACGAGTTTCTAAAAAAGGCTGAATACTCTTTGCTTCAATATTCCCATTTTCTAAAAATACAGTCAGTCAAAAATGTCTTCATTTTGAATTGTTTTATGGCAATTCCTTTTCTGGATGTGTAGAGCTTGCCAGTGGGAGGTGCCATGTCTCTAACTACTCACTGCCTATTGATCAGCCAAGGCTTTTATCCAAAGCAACACCCAGTTTAGAGAGAGAGAGATCACTTTATTGGCCATATACAATTTCTTGCATTAGGAATTTGTCTTTTCACATACCCCAGCTTGCTCTCCATGAGACACACAGACAGGGAGAGAAGCTGGGAGTCAGAGCGCAGGGTCAGCCATTTATACAGCACCCCTGGAGCAGTTGGGGTGAAGGGCCTTGCTCAGGGGCCCAACAGAGTAGGATTCCTCTGCTGGATGCAAGATACGAACCGGCAACCTCCCAGCCGCAGGCACAGATCCTCAGCCACAGAGCCACCGCCCCGCCCTGGTTCCTCACTCAAGTGTACAAAAGCTGTGTTACACCTGGGGTTTGAACCTGCAACCTTGCAGAAATCCAGAACCACACTCTCTGCTCCACCCTGCTGCCCCTCTAACACTTCGCCTGAAGCCCAGCACTGTGCCCAGTGGGAGTAAGAGCTCCCGGCCTCCCTGGCACACAGAGCCAAGGTCACTCACCCAGCCAGCTGACGAACGCCTTGGTCACCAGCACAGTGTTCCTCAGATCCCAGACGTAGGGGTAGAGGTCGTAGAGGACGGCGCGGTTGGTGCAGTTGACCACGCTGCCATGCAGCCGCGCGATCCTGTCGCAGTCCTGCTGGAACCGGCCGGCCCGCAGGCGCCACTCCTCTACCTGCGCGACCGCACGCACAAACACACAGCGTTACAGCGGGCGGAAAAATCCCACAAAGCACACATGCCAGGGACAGACCGCCATATAGAACGCCTTGAGTTTTATCTTTCTTTTTATCACCAGGTTTATCACCTAGAGCTTCACATTTAGGAGGGGACCCACATCATCAACTTCTGAGGTGCAGCCCTACCTGGGAGACACACAGTGGCCATTCTGCACCAGCAGCCCTATCTGGGAGACACACAGAGGCCATTCTGCACCAGCTCTGGCCTAAACATGACCTGTGACCTAAAAATGCCAAGTTTAAGATAGCGAAATAGCAATCGCCATGCATGTGACATCAGAGGGGCACAAATGCCCACAGAATCAGAGACTGTATTGCGATGCATCACACTGCCTCTGGCCCCATGTCTCCATGTCTCAGCGACCTTGATGACAGCCCTCCCTCACAGTGCCCCCGTGACCCGAACGTGACCCCCGGCGTCTCAGGCAGGCCTGACCTTCTGTGGCTCCCCCTTCTTGCCGTTGGCGCTGACACAGTGGCTGTGGGCTTTGAGCCAGGCCAGGTCCTGCAGGAGGCGCTGTGCGGGGGGGCCGTGCTCGTGGGGCAGGTAGTACAGCCCCACCAGCAGCTTGACCTCCTCCTCGCTCAGTGGGGCCCTCCCCACTGCCGCACCCCCCCCCTTCCCCTTCTCCTGGGACTGCGTGCGCACGAGGGGGAGCTCTTTGCCGGCAGGTGTGTCCTGGACCTCTCTCTCCCCCTCCTCTCCCTCCATTTCTCCGTGGGGCACGTTCAGCCTGAGGCCCCGGTCTTCACTCCGCGGGGCGACAACCAGCTCCTGCTCCCCTTGCCCCTTGTCCTTTGGGATCCCAGCAGGGAGAAGGCTGCCCCCCCGCAGATTGTCCTGTGCTGATGTGTGATTGCTCCCCCTGGTGGCGGGGTCTTGAACTGCACTCTCTGAGTTCTTCAGATCCGAGTCAGATTCTGAAGATTTGAGCCCAGCGGGGCGGCACTGACGACCTGCCAGGGGGAAAAAAAGAAAAAAGAAATTGCAAAATGAAAATGCAGGCTTTCTAAAACAGAAGGTGATGTTCAAGAGTCGAGTCTCCCTTGACATTGTCAGGAATGACTGAGACTGAAAGCACAGCATGTACAGCATTTCTCCACAGCAAAGCCTGTCAGCTGTAGTGCTCAACGACGCATGTTGTACTGTCATCTGTATCTCTCCTAGAGCTGGTGAGTCAGAAAGAACAGCAGCTGACAGCTCTAAATTTGAGAGACATAAACAGTGTGAACAACCTACGGGACCAGCCTGAAAGAACAGATCTGGGGCCACAAGTTTGCAGCGCATTGCTTGTTAATTCACCTCTGCTGAAGGTGCACTCAATCGCCGAACTCCTGTCAGGGGTGATGATGAACCACTTTCAGCCTCTGGTTCTTCATGCTGTGCAGATCCCCAGGCAGGGACCACTGTGGGCCGAGAGTCCTTTGTTAGCAGGACTCCAGCAGGAGTAAGGAACAAGATGTCGAACAATCCTGTTGTGGTCATACCTTCAGCAGAGGAGTGAGACGGCCTTGTGCAGACTTACAGAAACACACTGCTAGGTTTCCTCCCTCTTTATAGACATTACAGCCTCGTGACAGGTGATTGATCTCAGGCTCCGGTTTTCATCCTATGAAGTTCTTGAAGTTGATCACTTTGTCCCTTGACAGCCTCGTTAAGAGCAGATCAATTACTGTTGTTGGTTTCAATCCCTTTAGTACTTAAACTGACCTTGAAGCAGTTTGGTGAAGGAAGCAGACCTGCATGGTTCAGATAACTTATTCCAGTAATGATTCCAAACACTCCACAACACACATAAAAACCCTAACACTATAACCTTCAAAACGTGTCAATATATTTGCTCCACTTCCATCCTAGAGGAGGTGAATCGCCCGGATCCTGAAGAGAAATGGCCTGAGGTAACTGTGGGATCAATAAGCAGGAGCAGGAGGTTCCCACTGGCCCCCTGTCCTGTGAAGACGACTCCAGACACCAGATCAAATACCCAAGCTCCCTCCCCCTCCAGCTCCTTCCACTGCAAGGAGCCGACACAACCAGCTAATTAGCAGCCAGAAATCACAGCTGTAAGAATCCAGCTGCGGAACGGCCTGGAAGGGCTGGAATTGAACCAGCCTGCCAAGCCTCCGCTGGGCCTGCCGAGAGGCGTAAATGGGACACATGACAGTGAGCTCACATGGCACAGAGCAGGCTGGGAAAGACTCCACTGCAATTCCGTTTCTTTCTGCTGCTGATGAGAGAGGAGCATGTTTTTAGGGATTTTCACATTACCCCATGTGCACGATGAGATTCTGGGTACATTACTGACGCCAGTGTGTCTGATACAGTGTATGCAATCACACTATCCAGCCCATCTCCTCTAGCAAGAATTCCCAAGACCCTGCTGAGTGAGCAGCAATGGTCCAGCAGTTACAGTCAGGTAATAATTACTCCCTGACCACTGTCTCCATACAGACGCAGCCTCCTGCAAAGGGCATACCTGGCTGTAACGGCTTACTCATCTCCTGCATCCAGTCCTTCAGGGCAAGAAGCAGCGCCTCCTCTGGACAGTACGTCACCTGCTGCACCTCCCCACCTGCAGGAGGGAGACACACTCTCAGGGTCAGGGCTCACAGCACACACACACAAGAACTGATAACAACACACACTCATGGACTGACAACACGCACACACACGCAATGACTGACAACATCACCCACACGTGGACTGAGAACAACACACACTCATGGACTGACAACACGCACACACACGCAATGACTGACAACATCACCCACACGTGGACTGAGAACAACACACACTCATGGACTGACAACACGCACACACACGCAATGACTGAGAACAACACACACTCATGGACTGACAACACGCACACAGACAGACAACACGCACGCATGGACTGGCAGCACCCACACCACTCCTGCTGCAGGCATGCTGATGCAGGCCTTGGTATTTGTCTTGAGTTTTTCTTAGTCCTTTAAAACCTGTAAAAGCCAACTGCCAGGCAGGTACCCCTTTACACAGCCGGTGTCTATCTCCTGAAGCAATCGGAGTGTACTACCTTGCTCAGGGGTACAACGGCACAATCCCACAAGCCTCGATTCCGGAGACCCCAGCCCTGAGCACTGCCCCACGCCCTTCGCCCTCAAGTGGTAGGTGTCTGGCGTGGGTTTGGTACTGCTTTGTTTCAAGCACAAGAGCGGCATGTAAATGTTTATTTCATAAACAAAAAGGCACATCTATATCTACAGTTTCTGTCGATGTTGTTGGATATGGTCACACATTGCCTGTGCAACCCGGCAAGATCATTGCAAGAAACACATATTTCTGAATTCTGAACATTGGGAAAATCCCATATTTCCAGTGCTTCTTGACATGATAGAATCACCAAAATCCGAGCTCTGTACTGTGTTGAAAATGTCAACAAACATTGAATCTTTACATGAATCCTGTTAAGCAGGAAAATAAAAACACTTTCCTGTAAAGTTTAAGAATTTCTAAATTAAGAGCAAGTAAAGGTTTATTCCATGTGAAAGAGAAGAAAAGAAACACGTGTTCTTCCGGACTCACAACCGTATTTCATTGGTGCTTCCAATACTAACGTGCTAAAACCGATGGAGAGCGAGGAACAGTACAGCTGATTCCACACATCCACTCCACTCTCGATACATAACACTCTCATCAGGGAGACGGCACAGGGCACCAAATTCAAATAAAAACATTCAGAAGACGTCTTTTGTCCCCTCTGCAATAAAACCACTCAATGAAGGTATGTAAATGTAGTGCCCCCCATAAAAATATAAACATGTACAATATATATTTATATTTATGTTTATGAGCTCCTGTAGCCTGGACATTGAACTGGTTGCCATTGGGCTGCGTCCACGGGCGTTTACATGCGCCATCTTTGTTGTTGTTCACATTCCACCCACGGCAAACGCAGAGGCAGCGTGTTACGTCATACACACAGTCACAGCCAGGCTACAAACAAAGCACCCTAGCGCTTTTATGGCTATTTCAGGGGACTTTAATCACGTCTCTATTTCCACCACTTTGCCTACTTTCAACCAGTTTGTTAAGTACCCGACCAGAGAAAACAAAACACTGGACTTATATGCCAATGCTAAGGATGCATATAGTTCCACAGCCCTTCCCTCCCTTGGCAAATCAGATCACAACCTTGTCCTGCTTACACCACGATACAAGCCAACCTGCGACCATGAGGACTGTGAGGAGATGGTCTCAGGAGGCTTTGGAGGATCTACGTGGCGCTTTGGAGGCCACCGACTGGGATGTGTTGTGCAAACCACATGGGGACGACATAGACAGCATGGTGGACTGTGTCACTGACTACATAAACTTCTGCGTAGACAACACCATCCCCACCAAAGATGTACACTGCTTTTCCAATAACAAACCCTGGATCACCAGCGACCTGAAGGCCCTTCTGAATGACAAGAAGAGAGCCTTTAGGAGGGGGGATAAGGAAGAGGTCAAGCATGTACAGAGGGAGCTAAAGCAGAAGTTAAGAGAGAGCAAGGACGCCTACAGGAGGAAGGTAGAGGACAAGCTGCAAAGGAATAGCGAGGGACGTAGGGAGCAGCACGAGAGAGATCACTGGCTTCAAAC